AAAAAAAAAAAAAGAACAGTACTTGGCACTACACAAATTTAAATTAGTGAATAAATGAAGGTGCAAATAAGTGATTGAAGTCCTCTGAATATTTTATTTCTGGAGAGTCATTCCTAGTAACTTAGAATTTGGGGAACCCAAAGACAGTATGTAACAAATTCTGTGATTCTGTGATTTTGTAGATAAGTCAATTGGGACTGAGAGAGTTCAGATTCAGATTCAGTTCAGATTTAACAGAGCTGCAATTAGGACTTAAGTCTGCTCCTTCACAGTGCTCTTTACACCACATGGCTTAATGCCACGACTTTAAATGTTCTGTGTACAGCTACTTGACTTCTCTGCTTGGCATGGCTGTGGGTTGCAGGAACACAATCCCAATTAGCCCTTTCTAGGAGGTAATAATGAAAACCTTCTTGAACCAAGTCTTGAACGTGTGAATAATTTAAAGGGGCATCGACAGGCACAAAACAGGCAGTATTTCTTTGCATGGAAAGTAACTGTTAGTTTCAGAGCCATCTTTTTGATAGCATCCAGTTACCGTCAGATAGGGTCCTTTTCTAATACAAAGAGTAGAGGGAAAAACAAAGAGAGTCCAATCAGACCAAACAGGGTGTGTCAGCAATTAAAATAACTTGTAGTGGATCATTCCAAATTGCAATAACGGGTAATACAGTATATAATCACAGATCCTAGTGATGTTACTATTATTCCAATATTTCAAATGAGGAAATTGAAGCTTTAAGAGTGATCGGGGACGCCTGGGTGGCTCAGTTGGTTGAGCGTCCAACTCTTGGTTTCAGCTCCAGTCATGATCCCAGGGTCATGAGATCGAGCCCTGCATCAGGCTCCATGCTCAGCGGCGAGTCTGCTTGAAATTCTCTCTCTCCCTCTCCTTCTGCTCCTCCTCCTGCTCGTCCTCTCTCTCTTTCTCAAATAAATACATAAATCTTAAAAAAAAAAAAAAGAAGTTAAGTGATCTGTCTAAGGTCCCATAGTTGATAAGTGAGAGAATTCAAGTTTTCCTGATTCCAAAGCTCTTATTTCAGGAGAAAGAGTGTATAGGTTATTACCATGCTTTTATATTGATGGGGAATGGAGGGTCATCCGTCAAGGAATATAATTTTGATTACATGCAATATGATTGTTTTATTATTATTGTTATTATTACTGGGAGTTTAGCATATACCCCAATATTATATTATGATATTTAATTTCTGGGCCTAAGGAGGGTCTGAAGCACATGATACAGCTCTTGATGCATAATGTATGGCATAATGAAAAAAAAAGTGTGGCCTTTGACACCAAACACATATAAATGATATAAATTTGAATTCAGGTTCTGCTTTTTATTTTGTTGCCTGTGGCAAGCTACTTAAACTCTATGATTCAGCATGAAGTATTATTCATGTAGAGGATTTATCAAAATTAAAATAAATATATGAAAACAATCTGATTTATTGACCAGTTATCTACGTTTGTTAATGATTGGGCATGTTTTCTATATTTATAGGGCACTGGATTACCCAAATTCCTACTTAAAAGATGAGGGCAATTTCACCCCCAAAATTTGTTCCATTCTGGTGGGTTGTAAATGAAAATTATTATGTAAATAGTTGATTCTTTATAAAATGTACTATTATTTTTAATCTGCACACTTACCTCTCTCACTACATCCAAAAAGATAAGCATGACCATCTTACTATTTCACTTAGGAAATTACTTCTGTGGACCTTCTGTAGGACACTAGAATATCAAACGTCTCCAAGATTGTTTCTTGTGAATCAAATAAAATTGGAGTTTGGGCTATCCAGTAATTCTGTAAATATAGAAAAATGTAACGGTTTATTCATGAAGGTGGCCACCTGGTCAATGAATATATTTGTTTAGTTCTGATAAAATCCCTAGATGAATAAAGCATAGTCTCATATCCTCCCCTGTCCTAGGAGAGGCATCTCAAGATGTGCAAGAAACAGCTTAAAGATTATTGGCAAGAACAAATGCTGGTAAAGCCTGAAAACAGATGAATTTTCACCAAACTGTCTGTAATTACAGCCAATAATTATAAACTAATCTCTCACCTTAAAATGTGAACCCAAAATACAAAAACTTCCAGAAATAGGCCGTCTGAGTAGAACTTAAGGTTTTTATTCAAATCAATCGATCTACATAGTATTATTTACCACTTTAAGTGATTTTGGAATGGACAAGGCATAAACGTACCAAAAATACTGTTTCAGTGCCTCAGAGTTGGGCTAGTCTCCCTGCCACTCCCAGAGCACGAAGGGCTGCGATGAGGTCGGGGAGGGGCAGCATTTTGCTGACAACAGCATAGTGACTCAAAAGAAATGTCTCTTAATGCAATGAAAGAGAAAAAGGAAGAAAAAAATAAGGACGAACATGAGAAAGAACTAAAGGAAAGAAAGAAAAAAAATATATATATATTTTTAAAGATTTTATTTATTTGAGAGAGAGAATGAGAGACAGAGAGAGCACACGAGAGGGGGGAGGGTCAGAGGGAGAGGCAGACTCCCTGCCGAGCAGGGAGCCCGATGTGGGACTCGATCCTGGGACTCCAGGAACACGACCTAAGCCGAAGGCAGTCGCTTAACCAACTGAGCCACCCAGGTGCCCCAAAAGAAAAAATATTTTTAAGGGGGATGAGAGCAGGCCATGATGGGATAGTAGCTCAGAGATTCTACCTGAGGCCCTCCTATTCTCAGGAGGGGTTGTATGCTGGCTCAAGCTGGAGGCAGACCAATGTTCAGGGGCCTGGAGGTGAGAGAGGAGCTTAACCAAGTTTGGCTAACAAGCATTTTGTTCTGATTGATCAGTGGGATGAGTAGTTCAGTTTATAATTCAATGAGGCAAAAAAGGGAATTCGGAAGGTCTGTGTCTGGCTTTGTCATAGGCAAACAAGGGGATTTTGTGAGTCTTGTCTAGTCTTATGGGGAATGGTGGTTTTTTTTCAGTAAGCTTGCTCGTTTTCTGGAGCATAAAGGGTAAGGATCCTTTAACATTCTCTATTTTCCAGAGTACAGGGCTCAGATAAAATTCCACATTGTCAGTTCCCTGTTATCTAATGTTTGGCATGTTATTGAAAAACTTAAAAAACCATAAAAAGGAATTAGTCAGTGAAGATCCACATGTATGCATTTATTTCCCAACGTTTTGTTGTAAGGCCAAGACCTTTTTTGGGGGGGGGAGGGGTCTGCAGATTGAAATTTCCTATCTATTTCCTGGCATAAACTACACAAAAAGTTCATTGTCTAAGATATTCAGCTTCAAGTTCTTTAAATAACATAAAGAAACTTGACAAGCAAACTAAATAAGAGTCTTTTTAGATTTTTGTGTTGTTTACTTTCCAGTCCATACTGTCTTATGTATACCTAATGCAAAATCAGTCACATCAATGAACATTAAGTTTTAGAAAGGTTCCATATAGACAAGTTACTAAAATTGCATCATTCAAAGAAGTATTAAGTAAACTGATAACATACAATTATTTGAGGTCTGGACTTTGTTCTCAGCTTCTGGGAGGTAATCTCTAAGCCCTTGGAATGTCCTGCCTGAAAGGAGTGTATTTATTTACCTGGGGACTTTGGGTCACCTAGACAGTCTATGCTAACTATGATTAACAGTGTGGTCTTGGGCCATGTGGTAACCCCTCAGCTTCTGGAAGGGTAGAGACTAAGGGAAGCCATGTCGGTGGTCAGTCATGTCTATGTGATCAAATCCAAATAAAAACTTTGGAAACCAAGGCTTGGTGAACTTCCTGGTTGGCATTACTTCATATTGCCACCCATCATTGCTAGTAGTTAGCCCTGTTCACTTGACTCCCTTGGGAGAGGCCAACTGGAAGCTTACGTCTGGAACTTTCCTAGACTTGGCCTATGTGATTCTTTTCTAGCCTGATTTGAATCTCTATCCTTTTGCTATAATAAACAGCAACTGTGAGCATAAGTGCTTTTTCTGATGCTTTTTAACAAATTATTGAACCTGAGGGTATTCTTGAGGACCTCCAAACTTTGTATTTTTTAATAAATTCAATGTAGAAATAACCTCTCACATTAAGTACACTTAAACATGAGTGAGTATTGAATTGGTTATTTTAGAAAAGTGTCATACTGGCAAGTTGCTAAAATTGGATCAAACAATTATAAAGTAAGCTGGTAACATATACTTGTTTGAAAAATATGATTACAGTAACAGACTAGACAGCTTGTTTAATTCCATGAGTTGAGTAAAATAGATGTCAGTAAAAGAGAACTTCTACTGTATATTGAGAGAATGATGAGAAAGCCATTGTACCTGATTTCACTCACTTCAGAGACATGAATTTTTAGGCAATCATTATGTGTGATATAATGATATCTGAAAGGGATCTTTTACTGAGGAAATTTTGAAGATATCAAAAGGGCTTGCTGAGAATGATTGAATCTACAAACCATAATGTGAAATATTTACAGTTTACCTAACACACTATGGCTGATAAACTCAAAAGGGTGTATTGTGAGATTTGATATAAATTCTCATTTCTAGCTCAATAAAGAATCGGGGATAATTATTAGAAAGTGCTTCTAAGAGAATTGTTTTGAACCAAACTAGATTCTTCTTCGATGAGATCCTAGAGATACTTCTGTGGCTCTTAATTGTCTCATCTTACCCATATTCATATTTTGCTTTAAGGTACCTGGCCTTGAGAGTTTTAATTTTCCCCAATGAATTTATGCAAAGAATAAGTGGAGAGGTTTTCATCAATTGGCTTATATATATTTTTGCCTGCCTCTGCAATGAACTGAGTGCTGGCTACCTGTTTTGTTGGTGACGATTGGAAGTGATAGCATCATAGTGCAGCTCACTGCTTGTGTGGTCTGGACCCTGTTCCCCTACACTCCCTCCCCAACAGCATTTGCTCTGTAAGAGGAGTGTGTTCCATGCCATCAACGTGGGCTGGTAAAACTTATTTTAGGCTAAAAAGTCATTTTATGTTTGAAATCAAGGATAAAATAAAATGTCCTTAATGTATAGCAAGCTAAACATCCACGACATATTGAAGCAGCAGCTTATAAAGTGATATTTTTTTCAATCACTTCATGCTCCATTTTGCTTCATTTTAGAAGTTTGGGAGAAGAATGACTGGTAATTTAACCTAGCTCAATATAGATGTAATCCCTGGCTCTTTCTATAAGATTAAAAGACTTTTTAAAAATGGAAGAGTTGGGGCGCCTGGGTGGCTCAGTCGGTTAAGCATCTGTCTTCAGCTCAGGTCATGATCTCAGGGTCCTAGGATTGAGCCCCACATCGGGCTTCCTGCTCAGCGGGGAGCCTGCTTCTCCCTCTCCCTCCACCCCTCCCCCCTGCATGTGTGTTCCCTCTCTCTCAAATAAATAAAATCTTAAAAAAAAATAAAATAAAATGGAATACAGCTAATCCCATAATGTAAGTCCAGAAGACCGCTATTGCAGGGTGATAGGTCACTATTTTTTATTCCTCTGACAAAAATTTTGACTCTTTTTCTTCCTCTTCCCCTTTCCATTTCTCCTTCTAATGAAAAATTCAGTTCTACAGATAAAGGTAGGACTGAACAAGGTAGTTGTTCCCATCTGGTGGTGAGGGTGATTCAGTGGCTCAGACCAGCACACGTTGTTGGAGCCTGAACAATGTAAGTGGACTGCTCGTGGTGGAGAATTAGATCCAGGAAGAGTGAAGAGAGTGACCACATGGAAAAGGGGCTCGGTGTGGGTTGTCATAAGCTAAGGAAGGGTAAGCTGGCCTATATGCAGGGAGAACCCTGGTGATGAAGTGTGGGTGGTGAGAAGACCATCTGCATGGAGGATGAAGCAGTGGTAGTGATGGGAGATGGGTTATCTACTGAAGCTTGATGAATTAAGTGCCCATATCAAGGATAAGAGGAGTTAGGTTTGTCACTGGGGCTTCCAAAATAGAAGACAAGAAAATTAAAATGAATCCTGGAGTGATGAATTAGAATTAGAGACGTTTGTGTGAATTTACAATTTTGAATAGAATCAGCTCTGCTAGAATGCTACATACATGTTCCTAAAAGCTGTCATGTCATACAAAATCAGACAATAAAAAGGACAAGGCTTATGAGCAAATACTTCATAAGTGACACATTAAAAAAATTGGAACACAGTAAAAATGATAGCACAGTTAACATGTTAAATGGGTAAGAAATACATAAATACGATACTAGATACGGCACTTTACATGGAAAAGGACCAGAAATTTGCTTGTGGAAGTAGACATCAGAAGGGTTGCAGCTTCGGAGTCATTGTGAAGTGGTAGAGAGGAGAGTTATTTGAAATCAGACAGAAAGTTGTAACATCAGATGAGATGGGTATGGTGCATAGCACATAAAGTGAGTTGTGGATGGTGGATGTTGGTTGTGTGTGTGTATATGTGTGTGTATGCATGTGTGTGTGTCTTACATAAGGCAAGGCTTGGTTCAACTGGGTGTAGTTTTCTGTGTTCATCTTGTATTTCTTGCAGAGGAAATCAAGCCTAAGCAAACAAAAAAATGTGCTGTGCTCAAATTGTTCCTTAATATTGCAGTTGCATTGGAACAAAATCGCATCACGAAGCAAATGTTAAAGCAGAACTCATTGTATATAGATATACATAGATAGGTATTGAAATATTTATAGATGCAAGTGCACACATTCCTACACACACTT